GAAAAGTATTGTAGACCTGCACCAGACTGGGAAGAGTGAATCTACAATAGGCAAGCAGCTTGGTGTGAAAAAACAACTGTGGGAGCAATCATCAGAAAATGGAAGACATACAAGACCACTGATAATCTCCCTCGATCTGGGGCTCCACGCAAGATCTCATCCCGTGGGGTCAAAATGATCATGAGAACGGTGAGCAAAGATCCCAGAACCACACGGGGGGACCTGGTGAATGACCTGCAGAGAGCTGGGACCAAAATAACAAAGGTCACCATCAGTAACACACCACAACGGCAGGGAATCAAATCCCGCAGTGCCAGACGTGTTCCGCTGCTGAAGCCAGTGCATGTCCAGGCCCGTCTGAAGTTTGCCAGAGAGCACATGGATGATACAGCAGAGGATTGGGAGAATGTCATGTGGTCAGATGAAACCAAAGTAGAACTTTTTGGTATAAACTCAACTCGTCGTGTTTGGAGGAAGAAGAATACTGAGTTGCATCCCAAGAACACCATACCTACTGTGAAGCATGGAGGTGGAAACATCATGCTATGGGGCTGTTTTTCTGCCAAGGGGACAGGACGACTGATCCGTGTTAAGGACAGAATGAATGGGGCCATGTATCGTGAGATTTTGAGCCAAAACCTCCTTCCATCAGTGAGAACTTTGAAGATGAAACGAGGCTGGGTCTTCCAACATAACAATGATCCAAAACACACCGCCCGGGCAACAAAGGAGTGGCTCCGTAAGAAGCATTTGAAAGTCCTGGAGTGGCCTACCCAGTCTCCAGACCTCAACCCCATAGAAAATCTGTGGCGGGAGTTGAAAGTCCATGTTGCTCGGCGACAGCCCCAAAACATCACTGCTCTCGAGAAGATCTGCATGGAGGAATGGGCCAAAATACCAGCTACTGTGTGTGCAAACCTGGTAAAGACCTATAGTAAACGTTTGACCTCTGTTATTGCCAACAAAGGTTATGTTACAAAGTATTGAGTTGTATTTTTGTTATTGACCAAATACTTATTTTCCACCCTGATTTACGAATAAATTCTTTACAAATCCTACCATGTGGATTCATGGATTTTTTTTTCACATTCTGTCTCTCACAGTTGAAGTGTACCTCTGGTGCAAATTACTGACCTCTGTCATCATTTTAAGTGGGGGAACTTGCACAATCGGTGGCTGACTAAATACTTTTTTGCCCCACTGTATGTGAATTTAATTAATTCATAACATATCGTTTTAACATATTAAAACAAAATATATGATTCACAGTTTAAATTTCATTTTCTGAAAAATATCCAACAGTGTATCTGTGAAAATGTGAAGCTATTGCCTTAAACACTATCTTCTATTAGGGTAAAAAAAAAAAAACTGTGGATAAAAAAAATCCACACAAAACTGGCATTTCGGGCATTTTGAAAATTTACAGAATTTGGTGCCCAATGTTTAATGTATTTGTTTTTTTGTTTTTTAAGTCATCCTTTTTACATCGCATTTTTAAAATGACACAACTGTAACCGTAATTTGGACTGTACCATTAATCCCAGAGGAAGAGAAAAGTATTCACAGTGCTTTGCTTCCTCCACAATGTGTTATGTTACAGCCTTATTGTAAAATGTAAATGTAAATTCATTTTTCAACTCAAAATTCTACATACATTATCCAATAACAACAAAGTGGAAAAAGTTTGCTTAAAATTCAGAAGTGTAATTCTTGCATGACACCGAAAACTGAGCTCAGTTGCACCCTGACACACACCTGTCTATATAAGGTCCCTTTGATGACAGTGCAAGAAAGGTCAGAGGAGTTGTCTGTAGATTTTCAAGACAGGACTGTATCAAGTCACAGAACTTGGGGTGGGGGTATAGAAAAATGTCTGCAGCACTGAAGATCCCAATCAGCACAGTGACCGCCATCATCCATAATAGGAAGATTTTGAAACACCGGGACTGTTAGCTACTTGGCCAGTCTGAGCAAGTTGGGATAGAAGGAGTATCATTTCTGCAGCACTTCACCGATCAAGCCTGTATGGTAGAGCAGCCAGACGGAAATCATTCCTCATGACAGGTCTCTCTTAAACAAAGATTTAACTTTTTGGCCTGAATCCCGTGTGTCATGGAAAGCAGGCACTGCTCACCACCTGGCTAATACCATCCCTACAGTGAAGCATCGTGGTGCCAGCATCAGCAGCAGAACTGGGAGATTAGTCAGGGTTGAGGAAAAAATGACAGCAGCAATCTACAGAGACATCCTTGATGACGGCCTCCTTCAAAGTGCTCTGGCTTTTGAAATGTGGCAAAGGTTTATCTTCAACAGGATAATAACCCTAAGCACACAGCTGCCGGACACTGGCGCCACCGGGCCCTCTGACCACCACCATTTCATATACCACCAACAGCTTCCTATCTGACACAGTTGGCTAATTTGGCTAATAGTGGCCATAGTGATGTTTTCTGCTTAAATTTATGAATGTTTATTTATAGTGAGCATCAGCATCAGCTTCCTTACAATATAAACAGTAAATTCATCTGAAAGACATTATGTGCAGTTAGCCTCAAGCCAAGTCCTGACATCTCAATCTTCTCTCAGGATGGGTAACAAGTGTGACCCTTTGACTGATTAAAGGGCTATACCTCAGCTTCGGTTTGCAAAAATCTAATAATCTAACAGATTATACTATACTTAGTTTCTAAGGTGGCTCTGAACACAGTGTAGGATGAGCAGAGATAATTCAACTACATTGAAAAAAACACATTGTCTTAGAGATAATTATGAGGTTTTACAGAATCAAAATAAAGCAGTGATAGTGCATCCAGTAGCAATTTATATCTCTCTACACAAGTGGATTTTTTTTAACATGACATTTTTCATAACAAACACTTTAATTCACTATTATACTGAATTACATATATTGTGTAATGTATTGAAATGATAGGAACAGGATCTTCTAATATTCTCAAAATTCCAAGAATATCACAAAATAAGTTTTGCATTTTTTATGCAAATAAAAAAAACATTTTTATGAGGAAGGTATATGAGCAAAACATATTCTTTTAAGACATTTGTAAAATCATGGAAAATACTAGCCAAAAATGTCCTCCTGATAAAACTGAAAAGAATTAGAAACTGCTTCACAAGGAAGTAACCATTACCCTACTGCAGACTTTTGTCAGTATGAATGGAAAATGGTTATGATCTGAAATTATATGCTTAATGAAAAATACTGCTAAATTACTCTTTCTCGTTTGGCTCTCGGCGAAGGCAGTTGCACTTTTCTCCTCTCCTCCTTCCCCTTATCTTCCCTGCTTAGCCTCTTGTGTCCTTGTCTTGTCTCATGTGTATTACTTTCCCTGGAACACTCTCTCACAGTCTGTTCTCTAAAACCTAAAAGAGAATTATGGATTTGATCAACTGGTCTCTGAATGCTATTGACACCCTTTTCTCAACGAGAAGTCTGGGCTTGGGAGAGCCCGAGTGCCCTGGAGGGACTTTCCCTGCCGGATACACGATGGATGGGTGGCAGAAATGGAGGATCGTGTGCCTGGCGGGACTGTCGATCGAGGACGCTGAAGATATCTACCTATTCGGAACCATGATAACAGGGTTCTTGCTGATCGGAGCTGGCTTGGCCCTGGCTTATCGGAGAATTAAGAAAGCGGAACCAGCTGTTTAAACCCCCCCAAGGCTGCCCGCTGGGATTGAAACGATGGGACGAGGCGCGACTTCTCAGAAAGAGCTCACTGAATGCAGCATGGTTAAGACCTTGGAGAAGCTTACGGCTGCCGTGAATACTCAGAATAACACCTCCGAGCGTATATTGGATTACATCAAGGGGAAGTTCCCTCAGAATAACACCTCTGAGCGAAAGTTGGATTACATCGTGGAGCAGCTCACTGCAGTCGTGAGTTCTCAGAATCGGCTCTCTGAGCACAAGAATGACAAGACCACGGAGTGCAAGTTTGACAACATCATGGAGAAGCTCGCGGCTCTCCAACGGGAGAGTGAGAGACCAGTATTGGAGTGTTAAAGAACAGCTTTAAAATTCTCATGAGTTATTCGCATAAAAGAAAAATCAACAACATCAACATGATAATGCGGATATCCCCTCGGCGCCAGCTGTGGGCTTAAGGCTGGAGCCGAACAAAAACTCCCTGATAACGACTGTGTTTTGACTGTTCCTTCCCATTATAAGGCCACCTGGGTTGGCTGGTAGACTGTTTACTTAGCCTGGTAGGGCGAAGGACACTGTCTCAGCTGAACTATGGACACGCACACACATACACTTACACTGATGAGCACTCACTCATCCCCCTTCCAATGCCTTCGATGCTTGTTGCCTCCTGGGAACACGAGGCGGGTCTGGGCCCGCGCTGGAGAGACGGTGCAGTGGCAGGATGGCTGCTGTGTTGCCTGGGATTACTCCTCATCCCCTACCCAACCCTGTTGCTGGTCACGTGCTCTGTAATGTTGTACTGTGGACATTTATGTGCTTTCTGTGCAGAGGAGTTTTTTTGTTTCCTGTTCTCATGCTGTCCTCCTATAGCCCAGCATGAGTAGAGGTCTCTTTTTTCCTCTTGCATTTTCCCATTGTAGTGTACATTTCAGTGTTTTTTTTCTGTAATGCAACCGTTCTCTGACTTGTATCCCCATGTGATGTCTGTGTTGTGTGTGTAAGGTCGGGGGGCGGGTTCATTCCACTGCAGGGCAACATGCCACTGCATGTGGCAAATAAAATTTGAACTTGAACTTGAACTTGAAATTTAGCACCAGTGTGGAATTTGACAAACTTTTAGCTAGCCAGCTCTAGAATAGGCTTGGTACATTTGTAGTGGTGTTTTACTACTTTTTACCATTACACGTTAAAAGTGATGGTGTTGATTATTTAATGGAATATGTCATTCCCAACTATTTGTGTGCATGTCCAATTTGGACAAGTGAATAACATACACATCTATCAAAAAACAAACAAACAACAACAAAAATAATACTGAGGTGACACTTACTTTTCACCAAAAAATCTCCTCCAGAAGTCAGCAGCATCAGCTTTGGTAATCCTGAACGTGTCTCCTTGGAATTGTCCTCCAGGGAAGATTGCCTTGATTTCTGCCAGCATATGACTGAAGATCAGAGACAGCTTGGTCAGGTTCCTCCTGCAGAGGCCAGAAAACAGGAAATAGTTCATGTAAAATTATAGCCTCACATGTTTGACAGACACCACATGGAAACTATTTGACCTGTACAAATATACTGTACATGTTCCTGACTTCTGATTTGTTGGTAATAGCTGGTCAAATCAGACATTTCGAACACTCTCTTAGACCAACATATGCTAGAACACAGTTTATAGATAATTTAATGTTGGATTTCCTTTAAAAAAGTTAACTATAATATGAACTACATGAGCACATTAGAAAACAAACTGGCTTAAATAACGACTACAGAAGGATCTCTGTGCTATATCACACAACATATCACATCTATCACACACTAGATAAAACTGAACTTAAAAAAAAAAAACAGACATATTATAACACTTAAGGATGTGTGGGCATAGGATGTGAGAACACATTTTTCTCAGGGTTAGGGTTAGGGATCTCATCATCTGATAATGATAAATGTGACAAATGCAGAGCCAGTGTCAAGTTTTATTTTGCACAGTTATTTATGCAGCCTAAAATCCAATAACATATTGCCACTTATTTTCTGAGTGTACAAAAAGGGTGATAATGTTAGTGCTTTGTAAAAGGAAAGTAAATTTGTTCTTATTCACAAAAACTAACCAGTATAGACAGGTACATTTCCTTCTTTTGAAAGCAAAACCCAGACAATCATAAATGTGACATAGAAAGATTCATCAGTCAAATAAACCACTGACTTGTTGATCCAGAAGACCCTCTATGGCATAGGTGTCAAACTCTGGCCCGCGGGCCAAATTTGGCCCGCAAAGCCATACCAAATTACTATTAGAGCTGGCCTACTGGTATTATACAGCTAATATATATATTGTTTAGTATTAAGCTTTGCTTGTTCCATATTCAGTTTTCCAGCAAAACCTATTTGAGTCCATAAGAAAAGATTCATTCTTATATCTGGAGGAAGATTTTTTTTTTTTAATAAATATTATTGTTAGCCCACGACTCCAGTTTTGAATTTTGGCCCACTGTGTATTTGAGTTTGACACCTCTGCTCTATGGAATGGATTCATGTCATTTGTTTTTGAATTACTGCATATGGACACTATCTACACATTGCAACAAGTTTTTTACACTTCCCAGGATGACTTAGAGCAAAGAAAACCTATGTGTGAGAAGCTGCTTCTTCAACAGAAAGATTGCACACTGTCACTTTGTTGCCTGCTACTATTACTTCCTATTAGACCCTGGTTAAAACCAACAGATGGCATAGCTATACTTTCAACTTTCAAATGGTCATAACCCCAAATGTCAATCAAAGAAAATCCTGTTTATTTGAACAATTATATTTGACGTTATATTCCATCTTTGCTATGAGGAAGGGCAAAAATGAAACTTCGTAACTTCCCAAACACTATCATAAGAGATTTAGCTTTACATGTGATTTTTTTCCCATCAGATGAGTTTTAATGTTGTTGTCTTGTACAATTCGCCATCACACACATATTATTTTATGATCAACAACTGATGACTATAATATGAACTGGTTGACAAAAATTGAAAATGGCAATGTCAAAATTTTATTTCAAACAAATAATCAAAGGACTTAAAAGAGTCACTAAAACAGTAGAACCCTAATTGATGTCTTACCAATAAAATGGGTCAGATGACAAACACATCATCTATTAACTGTAATGTAAACACAACATGCAAATATTAATTGGAATCCCCTTATAGAAATAGATAACCAGGATTTGTGTTGTGATTGCATTACTACTTTAAAGTGGACATAAAACACTACACATATTGGGGCTCTTTTTATCTAATTGCTATCATTTTAATTGATGCCCACTCATGGTAAATGATGGTAAACTGTTGTTATGTTATTCAGCCATGTTCAGAAACACTACAAATCCGTTATGCACAACGTGCATCACTCATACACTGCATCACACTTTTTGGATGTTAATTTGTCCTATTTAACCACAGTTTAGTGTTTTTCTTCATTGTCTGTTTGGAGTATAAAATGTAAGATTAACTTGATATCTGAGTGTCTCTTAGTCTCTCCTATATTAGCTAGTTAGTCTAGTTTTTTTTTTTTTTTTTTTGGGGGGGGGGGGGGGGGTTGCCTTGTTTAGTTGACTAAGAAATCAGTTGCCATGAACAGTTAAACGTCAATCAGAGCTGTAGTCAATTTGATAAATTATACAATAATTTTACAATTATTCATAATATTTTTCAACTTTTTCTTTATTTCTGATTTAATTTTGGAATGTTTGCCCATCTACTGTCTTTCTCCATTTCCTTGGAAATGGAATAAAGTATTTGAGTAATATTAGGTTAAAGTGGGAAAGGTGAGCATCAGTATTCTGTGGTAGCGTTCCACTTCAGTTGGTCTGCATGTGTATGAGCATGTGAGTGTGCTTCTGTGTATGCCTGCACTGAAAAAAAGTAATTTCATGCTTCTTTGGTTACCATTAGGCCTCTAATCAACCAAGGGCCAACCAAAATAACTTCTCATTGGGATGCAAAGGAAAAGACCACACATCCTTGTGGGCGAGGGCTCTGCTCTTAAGTACCCCCAAACAAACAGAAAAAGCAGCATGTATTCTGCGCTATATAATGTATGCATGGATACATGGATACATTTTTTGGATGTAAATTTTCTCCCTGCTTACAGCATCACCCCACTTTAATGCTCAGTGCAAAGTACAAGACAGATATATGGTCAGTCTCTCATGTGTCCTTGCCATGATCTGTGCTATCAGTCTGTAATCTGCCTCATCTGACAAGCTGCCCATGAAAGGCAGCCTAGGGCTAATTTATTCAGCGTGTCTAGGGTAGCATGGCCAGAAACTGCTGGCTAACTTATGTAATTTTTTGATTGTTCTGTTATAAGCAACACATAAATGAAATCATACTAAACAGCTTTTCAACATGTTAAATAAAAAGAACAATTTCAGATTCCCCATAAATAAAATAGAGCAAAGTCACAAATTTGCTTACACAGTTGCTATCACACTGCTGTGCTGACAAGTGCACTCCAGCTGCTCAACTGCTCACTATCTCAATTTCTATTGGCTTCCTGCCATCTCAACAATTTGTCTCCATCACAAACGGCTTCCTCTAACTCACTATGACATTGTAGACTTGCTTTAAATGTCAGGGTCACTATAACAGAAGTCTCTAAATAATAAATGAATTGTTCATTAAAAGTAATATGGTAAGGACCATACAGTTGTGCTGTATTCAATATTCAGTCTTGAGTATTTACTTTCATTCTGGATAAATGTATTACCATTTCTCCAACATCATGTACTGGTATTCAAAAGCTTCATTTGAATCATTTTTAGGCTCTTATGAATGATGATGAAAGCTATTATTATCAATTCATAAATGTAACATTTCCTATCATACTGGGAACAGTATTCTATTAAAAGGGTGATGTAAGAAAGATGTTTCTAGATTTATTAATAAAAAGCATTCTCTTTTCTGCAATTAAGGGTTATCTGTGGTTGATGATAACTATGATTATAAAGTCTGGATGTTAAAGGGTAGAGCGATCAACTGGAAAACGTGGTCTGGCATTGTAGGGCCAATGCTAGGTTTGACAGCACACTTTTGGGGAGAGATTTCCTCGACCATTTCCTTCACACTGTCCCCCAGCTGCATCCGTTCAGTAGAGCCCCCCAGTCAATACCAGTCATTACAGTGTCCCCCGGTCGCATCCGTTTGGTAGTGATCCCCAGTCAGTACCAGTCACTACAGTGTTCCCTGGTTGCATATGTTCGGTAGTGACCCTCAGTCAATACCAGTCTCTACAGTATCCTCCGGTCACATCTGTTCGGTAGTGACCCCCAGTCAATACCAGTCACTATGGTGTCCCCCGGTCGCATCCGTTCGGCAGTGACCCCTAGTCAATACCAGTCACAAGAAAGCATTGCTATGGTTAAAAGCTTTGAAGATGCTGTAGTTTAAAGCTTGTCTGCCACAGCCCCTGTCTCTCATGTACCTCAGTGCTCATAGCTGAGTGTCCCGCAGAAGCTTGGAAAGAAAGCGTCTGGAGTTCTTTAAGTTTCCTCGAAGATGTTTCACCTCAAGGAAACTTAAAGAAGTCCACATGCTTTTCTTTCTAAGCTAAGACTACAATGAGCTGGATGACTGCGAACCTTCACAGACATATAACTCATGAAGTAGAACTGGATGCAGAACAGGAGGTAGAGCTAATTCACAATTTGAAGGTTGGTGGTTCAATCCCTGGTTTCCAAAGTATCCTTGTGCAAGTTGCTCAATTCACTGGAGTGTGAATGTATATGACTGTTAGGCCAGCATTTAGAAAAGTGCCTGTGTCAACGGGTGAATGAAGCACGGTGTATAAAGCACTTTGAGTGCTCCAGTAGAGTAGAAAGGCACCATTTAAAGGCTACATTTCCCATTTACAGCTGGGGGATGTGGACAAAAGAAATAAATGTGCCCTTTGGAACCAAATGACTCAATCCAAGCTTTGATCCAACAGTGGAGGGGCTGTTCTTTTTTCTTCATGTGTGTTTGAAGGGTGGGGGCATAATACTGCAGGTCAAAGCACATTGATATAAACCCTTAGTCAGAAGGCAGTGAGTAAACCTCTCAAAATAGCTTTCCAGTCCTTTGTATGTATGTACTCTCACAAACACACATACATTTATGCTGAGACTTATTCCTACCCAGGTTCTACTTTGTGGAAGCTTACTCAGGCTCAGACCTTCCATGGGAACATGTGACATCATCATTTCAAAGGACTGCTCACTATGACACATCAACAAGCGTAATAAAAATCCTTCTGCAGAAGTACATTCCAGATCAAGCCTATACATGTTAGTTGCAGAAATACAGTACTGTGCAAAAGGTTTTAGGCAGGTGTGAAAAAATTCAGTAAACAAAGAATGCTTTCAGGAATATATGATTGTTGTAATGTTTGTTTATTTTTATCAATTTACAAAATGCAAAGTGAGTGAACAAAAATTTAAATCAAATCAGTTATTTGGCGTTACTGCCTTTAGCCTTCAAATAAGCATTAGTTCTTATAGTACAATTGCACAAAGTCAGGGATTTTGTAGGCCAAACTCTGCTACCAAGTTGAGGTTGTGAAAGACAGTTTCATGTCATGGCAAGATTGAGCACAGCAACAAGGCACAAGGTAGTTATACTCTCCCAGACAAAGATTTCAAAGCAGACTGGGGTTTCAAGATGTGCTGTTCAAGCTCTTTTGAGGAGGCATAAAGAAACGGGCAATGTAAAGGATCATAGACACAAGTGGTCGGTCAAGGAAACTTACTGCAGCAGTGCTTATTACCCTTTGAAATCAGAAGATGTCCAGCAGTGCCATAAGCTCAGAACTGGCAGAAACCAGTGGGACATTCCATCTAATGTCTGGAGAAGTCTGGCCAGAAGTGGTCTTTATGGAAGAGTTGCAGCCAAAAAGCCATGCCTTTGACGTAGAAACAAGGCCAAGTGACTCAAGTATGCACGTAAACATAGGAAATGGGGGTGCAGAAAAATGGCAGTAGGTGCTCTGGACTGATGAGTCAAAATTAGAAATATTTGGCTGTAGCAGAAGGCAGTTTGTTTGTTGAAGGGCTGGAGAGCGGTGCAATAATGAGTGTCTGCAGGCAACAGTGAAGCATGGTGGAGGTTCCTTGAACGTTTGGGATGCATTTCTGCAAATGGAGTTGGAGATTTGGTCAGGATTAATGGTGTTCTCAATGCTGAGAAATACAGGCAGATATTTCTCCATCATGCAATACCATCAGGGAAGTGTATGATTGGCCCCAAATTTATTCTGCAGCAGGACAATGATCCCAAACATACAGTCGAAGCCATTAAGAACTATCTTCAGTGTAAAGAAGAACAAGAAGGCCTGGAAGTGATAGTATGGCCCCCACAGAGCCCTGATTTTAACATCATCGATGGTGTCAGAGATTACATGAAAAGACAAAAGGATGTTAGGAAGCCTACATCCACAGAAGACCTGTGGTTAGTTCTCCAAGATTTTTGGAACAACCTGCCAGCCGAGTTCCTTCAAAAACTGTGTGCAACTGTACCTAGAAGAAGGCATAGGGTGGTCACACCAAATACTGATCTGATTTGATAGATTTCTCTTTTGTTCATTCTCTGCATTTTGTTGATTGACAAAAATAAATGATTAAAACTTCAATTTCTGAAAGCATTCTTTGTTTACAGCATTTTTTTTTACACCTGCCTAAAACTTTTGCACAGTACAGTAAAAGCATGCCCATTCTCATGAACAAATTAAAAGAAATAACTGATACAGTGAATATCAAATTAAACAAAGAAAAATGGACTATGCTTTTCTTTTCCGTCTATACTTTTATTCTCTCTTTTCTTTACCCTCAACTCTCAACTAGCCACAGAAGATAACTGCCCCATGCTAAGCCTATTTTTGGAGAGGATCACTTCCCTTCCTATTAAATAAATGTTTTTCTTGGCAGTTTGCTGAGTGGTCATATGCTAAAAAATATAAACAGTCCTTGCTAATGCTCTTTTGAGATTTTAATAATCTTAACACCTTAACTATTCTGGTATAAAATGTCACAGAAATATAGGCTACATAAAAATGTATATGAGAGTACAAAAGTATGTAGTATGTGAACTATCAAATGAGGATCACAGAAGAAAAAAAGTTGTTTCAGCATAAGTTGACGCAACCTTCAGCAAGATCAGGAAAAAAAAATCTTTTTTAGCAGAGCTAATTTACTGCAACTTTGTTTTACGGCTCGGTTTTAGCAAATGACATTTTATATAATAAATTTATCATTTTCAGCCATGAATTATGAAACCACTCATGTTTGTCAGTGTCATTTTAGGCTGTTTGATGGGCTCTTTTCTAAAAAGGGTTTACCCTTGCTTAAGAATGACATCATCTGCTTTGGGCATTAACTGCCAATGGGCAGGACAAATAGAGAGAGTCACTAAAGTACTATGGTGTCAAAGATTTGTACTAGAAAGTAAAAAATTGAAAAGGAAGAGGTTAACTTGCTCAATTAAATAAAACAGCCATGAGTCTGTTTCTAATGAGAGGCTCAAATTTAATACAAAAGAGACTGCAGATCATTCTTAAACTTTTAGAAATGCTCTTCTTCACATAACCTTCACAGATGTGTGCTTGAACGTACTTCTCCAGTTTAAAACACAATTACTCAAACAGACATAAGCAAAGACACACAGACACCCTGTCTCTCAGTCTTTTGTAGGATGAAAGAGAGCCTCTTGCCTGTATGTTTAAGAGTCTACTTTCTCATGATATGAATAAAAAGATGTATGAATAAACTCGGACTATATATTTACAACTACATATTTTTTCACACTGTTCTAGCTAGGGTCTATTTAAACATTGTATGCTAGTGAAATTGAGTTGCTTATGTTAAAAGAGTCATTGCTAGACAGCAAAAAAGGATGCATGTATTTTTGAAACTGTTTGCCATTCTTTCAATGTGTCAGCAGAACATCCACTTGAGAACACTGAGAAGAGTTGATGAATAATGCCCCTATCATTTTCCAGTTTCACATCTTTAACATCTATGTATAGTATTTGTGAAAATATTTTGAAAAATATTTGCTGATATGTAAATATCAGGATGTACTTTCTCCCTAATAATCACTGGTATAGGTTCCAAAATTCAACTATGGGAAAAACTGCTGGAACACTTCTCACTTAGTCTGGTTTAACAGGCATCCTGCAACATATGCATATAATGTAAAAGCTCAACCTCATGTTGTAACTGCAAAAGCTATTTGATATAACCGGAAATCAATTTGATTAACACAGAAATCAAACCCTGCAACTGGTTCAACTGTTCTTTTAGACTTCATTGAAGCAGAAGGAATCATCACGAACCCACACACACCGCATGACTCTTAGCTTTATGCAAATGAAAACAGCTATCTTAAAAGTCTAGAAATACTGACTCATACAACATCATGTAACTACCAAGAATGTACTAAATAGCTAAATAATTTGTCAGGTGATTCAGATATGACATTTATAAATTTTCACACGTGAAATATATGTTTCTATGGTTTCTTCTTTACCATATTGCAACAGCAACATATAGTGTTTATAGTAAACACTGTGTTTTACTGCAATAAATTAAGCCTATACAATCAGAGGCAATAAGAGAATAAAAGTAAGAAAAAAAGAGAGAAAGAGTTTCACACATACAGATCAAAAAGGGTGCTGGATGCTTCTTCAGCTGAGATAAAAAGGAAATATATGAAGCGGATGTAAAGTGTGTGGGGATTTTCCCTCTGAAGCTCTGCACATAGCTATCAGAAAGGGCTCCTGAGAATTACTGGAGCCTTACACATTTAAATTACCTATTGCAAAAACAGTTTTTAAATGACATAAATCATTTAGTTTTTATACCTGTTGACTCATAGCAAGAAGTTTCTGGAATTGAATACAGCATCTGGCTGGGCCTTCTGTATATGTTACATGACAGGCTTGCATTTGAAAAAAATCAGAATTTCATATCAAATCTTTGCAATGCGCAAGATGTGTAGTGGCATTTATCCTTAGATAGTTTGGGAAGAAAGCCAGTCAGAAGGGCTGTCTGGACATCAGTAAAAAAGAATAAAGTAAAAAAATCAGTAAAAAATAATTTAATATATGTGTGTTTTATTAAGCTCCAATATGGACTGCAGAGTACAGTGAAGCAGTGCACCTTGAAAACAGATGAAATTGCAGCAGAGACTCTCTGCATAGTTACTTTTTGGATTATATGACTACTTTGCAACTCGAACCATGGAAAGAATGTGAAGTGTTCTTCCTGTAACTCTGCAATGGGTAAAGTTTTCACAGAGAATCATCTTCATTCTGCTATCACAGTATTTCAGCTGGCTAACCAGCCATGTACAGTTACAAATATCTATCATCACGATGTGGCTGAGATAAAAAAAAAAAACAACTTAAAGTTGTCAAGATCATTCCAATATATTTTTCAGATGAATCAACCTGCAACTTAATATTGAGCGTTAAGACAAAGAGCAGGAGTTGGTGTGTTGAAGTACTTATGGAAACTTTTGACTTTCACAGTTGTAATTGCAAGTGTCACACATATGAGTTGGTTGTAAGAGGCTGGAAAACTGAGCTATTAAGATTTTAAGAAAATGTTATTTAAATAACATTTAAAGGTGAATGGTAAGACATGTAAGTAAGTAAGTCATGTTGTCTCTGTGACTATGGTTATCATGAGTAAAACAAAAAGAGAGCACCGTCTCGTACAGTATTCAAAAAGGAAACTGACATCTGAGGGCATCAAGGAGCATCTACTGTGCATATCTAGCCCAAATGTACACAAATATATATAGCTTTGGAATGAAGTGGCCAGAACAGAGTGTACCTCCAAAAAGCTTGTAATTTTTAAATCTGAAACAAAACTGTTAATTATTATTGTTCCTATTCTGTCTGAGAGACATCATATGATAGCTACTTCTCTTAAAGCAGTCTTCCAGAGAAAACCAAGAAAATCTGTGTTAACATAAAACACAAAAGCCAGGAAATATCCCGTCGTCATACCTGTCCTGTGACTGCTCCTCGTACATCCTCTCTCTTCCCTCTTTGAAGAGCCGGATAGCTCGTTTGGATTTCTTCATAAGGCTATCAATGTAGATTTTAAAGTAATCATTCTCACTAAGCTGTATGATCATCTGGTTCTCTTCATATTTGCCTAGTATGACCCGCAGGTGTTGGTAGGCATCAGGTAAAATATCCAGGATATATGGTGGACTGTTTTTCAGTTGGAGTCTGGGATTTTGGCAGAGCCGCACCTGTTGCAAAGGAATTAATCAATAAATGAAAAATCAATGTTTTCTCAATGCACATCAAATTTTCTCCTGCCACTCTACCTGAGCAGCTGTGGCAGCATGAGAGGAACAACAGGAACAATATTATGCATATACTAGTTTCATTATGTAACTCAGGTATGTATATGACGGATTTTGATAAGGACTTTTGTAAATAAATGTAGTTCTAAAGGTTCTATTGAGATGAAATTCTCACCATATGTCGGTAAACCCATCCAACCCACATATGCAAAGAAATCAAACCACAGATGTCTCTTAATTAAGTTGTGTGTAATGATGATAAACAACACAGGGAAAAAGTATTGAACACATGAAGAAAGGGAGGTGCAAAAATACATGGAAAGCCTGACACCAGCTAAACTCTATCAGTAATTAGAAAGCCATCCTGCCAATTAATGCAAATTGATATCAAGTGCTTCAGCTGTTTTCTGGACAAAATTTCTAGGTGTAGCTAAGTAAGGGAAGGTTTCCACTTAAGTGGTCTCCACTCATCTCTGCTTTTTGCAGAGGATGTGGTTCATTTGGTTTCATCATTTGGTGGCTTGTTTACAAGTGAGGGGAGAGGAGAATGGGAAAGCAATAGGTGGATTGGTACTGTGGCAGCAGTGTTGCCGTCATGGTCAAAAGGGAGCTGAGCGTGAAAATTGAGCTCTTGATTTAGTGGTCGATCTACATCCCTACCTTCACCAATGGTCACGAGCTCTGGGGGGTGACTGAAAAAACAAGATTGCGGACACAACCAGCAGAAATGAACTTTCTCTGAAGGGTGGCTGGACTCTCCCTTAGTGATAGGGTGAGGAGATAGACAATCCGGGAGAAGCTGAGAATAGAGCATCTAGGCCCTGTAGCAGACCCAGGACACGCTGGAGAGATTATATCTCTCAACTGCCTTAATGTTCCCCCCAGACAAGCTAGAGGAGTTGGTTCTAGGGAGAGGGATCTCTGGGCTTCTCTGCTTAGGCTGCTGACCACATGGATAAGTGGAAGAAATTGGACAGATGGATAGATAGACTGATGGTTCAGTCCCAACTGATGCCCTATTAAAAGCTGTCTCATTACCAAGGTTTCACACAAGAAATATCTTGTGATGGGTAAACCACTGAGTGCTCTCAAGACCTATGGAACTTTATTGTTGCAAGAAACACAATGATGGCATTGTTTACAGAAGAATTTCTAAACTATTGAAGATTCCAGTGAGCACTGTTTGGGCTATAATTCAGAGGAGTGAAAACAACTATCAGAAGAGTTGTCCAAGAGCCAAGGACCATTTGTGAAGAGGTACAGAAAGGCTTGGAATCAGCAGGTACAAGTGTTTTAAAGAAGATATTAAGTAATAATCTCAAATGCCATGGCCTGTATGGATGCTCATGATCCAAGACTCCATTGCTGAAGAAAAAGCATGTTAAAGTGTGTTTAAAGTTTGCTGAACAACATTTAGACAAGTCTGTGAGGATACAGTCTGGTCAGATGGGAACAAAATTGAACTTCTTTGATAACATAATATATACCATGTTTGGATGTCAAAAGGCACTGCATATCACTTTAGAAGCACTGATGGCCAAGGTCATTTCTCAAGACTTACAACTTTATCCATGAGTTTCCAAGTTTTTTCTACAGTCCTCCGGTCAGCAACTGCTTGTTTGGGTGGCCCCACTGCATCCTGGATGGCATCAATGATGCCTAAAATTCGCCCCTTACTTCTATTTGGTCCACGTCCACCAGGATATCGACTACTGAGAGCAGTTGCCATTTCCTACAATCACACAGAATTTGTACTATCAAAACATTAAATGGCATGAAAACATTTGAAAAAAAAAAGTAAATTTCTAATAGAAAAAAAAATCAGCGAAAACAGTTACAGTTGTTATTTTTTCATTAATATGTTTTCAGACAGAGAGAATGATGAGAGAATATGCACAGCCTATATAAGATGTTTATTATACCGAGCTTCTTCTTAGTTCCCCCCCCCCCCCACACACACACTTCTCCTTGGTCCTGGACTTGTCAGTTAAACCCCTGCAATATAGGTTTTAGTGTCTTTCCTGATGAGTGCATGTCACCTGATTTGCATGTTAATTTTACACATCCAGAACTTTAACTGCAAAATTAAGCTGCACAAAATAAGCTGCTTATTATATTCCGTCCTCTTCCTTTGTGGTTTGATTAAGGATCAAGTTTTTACTTTGTGTGCAGTGATCTTGTCGTATGTTAACTTATTCGTTTTTCTGGTTTTCATGAACTACCTGTTATGAACGTAAGTTACCATATAACCACTGTTTCCGGGAGGCAGATTTTTCGTTTTAAGCGACTGTGACTGAGGTCACACAAGATTCTTACACTTATATAGACGGATGTTGGAGGGGAACAAAGTCCTAACTTACCAAATCACAGGGGAATGTCTGCTGGGATCCCTACTGAATTCGGTCCACATCCAACACAAAAACAAGAACTATCCCAGAGTCCAAAGCTGAAAAAAAATGGGCATGAAAAGTATCCAGCCTATATAGTTCTGTTATTTCACTATAAATCCTCAAAATTTATAATTGTCAAATAAGAGCAACTCCCTAGGAGTAGCCGGAGGAGCTGTATAAACCCGAGGCACAATACGTTTTGTACAACAAAATAGGTGTGAAGTTAAATGCTCTAAACATTATACTTCCAGTGGAACATTTCAAAATAAAGTGACGATTGATGAAATCATTTACATCTAGATTTTCAGCTCCGTGGTCAGCTTGTATTCGATTTTCTTTGAAATTAAAATCAACACCCAACAATCATGCTCTTTTAATAGACCAGTTGGACAAAAATGACGGCCAACAACAAGATGAATTTAAGGTGATTATGTCATCACTGTCTGTTGTAATCAAAGATAGGACTGTTAGAGATTATGTAAAAATAATTTTGTCGACTTCTTTCCTTTTATTTTGGTCAATATAAGAATTAGACACTGTAGCCCATATTATTAACACTCAAAATAATAGATCACAGGACTATATCTCTTGATTAATTTATGATTATCGTTTCAAGTGGCAATGGTTAATCAGGATGTAGTCTTATGAAAAACTAAAGTAGTGCATAGCATAGCACTCGACCTCCCAGGCCCATCTCAGAGCTATGAAGACTCTATTCCTTTATAAATATTGCAAAATTGAATTTGACATATCTTACATTCAACACAAGATATGTAAATTTCCCAGCACAAATGTGTTTTGTTTAACTTTTGCCTTTATTTTTTAAATTGTCTTTTTGTGTCTGTTGCTGGCTACATTCATCTTGTCTTTTTTGCGTCACACAAACGCAACTCATAGCGTAAAGTCTGTGCTTTTATTTTAGAGGTACAGTAGTCTAAGTTCCTGCATCGTTTTAGCCTTGTTCTGGAATCTTGCTACAACCACAACGTGACATGAGGGCCGCTCCCACTCCTTTCAGTCGGAACGAGCAGTGTTATACCGGAAGTGACAAGAGTGCTTGGGTGTGACAAATGTGCGCCCTCAAATAAACGTGTTATTGAAGTTGTGTAGTAGTGATTACAGCATTTACATATAACTCCGCTGTGATTTGTTAGATCTTAATGGCTGATGTTCTTCCTGATACAACCACTGAGAACGTTGTCTTTATTCTGATGATCGAACCACGGATCTTCCCAGCAAACAAGGAAACCATCTGCAGCCCCCCAGCCCCCCAACCCCCCACACACTCAGTTCCCCAACCGTTGCGTCGTATAAGGAAGTTCTCTGGAAGTTAGAGAATCGGTTGCTGGTGGTAAAAATGACAGGTCGGTAATCGTTTTGCGAGCATTAATCGGACCTTCAAATTTACCGTTAAGGCGGCGGACCTCACCGTTCGGATTAACGCTGTCCTCGGTGTCCTACGAGGATAGCGCTGCTATTCTTTCACCGCCACCGTCCTCGGGAGAGTTCCAGCTGGCGCTGCTTCCGGGAAGTTGTGTTAACCGGTGTTAACAACGTAAAAAGACCATTGCACGCTAATAAATTTTACCAATGTTTAATTAACAGTGTCATATATTGGCAGCAACTGGCAGGTCTGCCCGGGAGAAGCAAATCGCACCAACTCTAACTGCTATCTCTTTTCCCTTATTCATTGCCTATGGCAGTGCTTTTAATTATTAATACTACAAATAGCATCTGTCAGCAAGCATAACACAGGGAAAATCTTATGCAAAAATAAAATGTAATAAATGTGAGATTGATGATTACAACATAAATTTTATATAGTCTTGATTTTGACAAGTGCAATCTGTATACTGTCTTAAACTGGTAAGGGTAAGTCTTGCACATGAGGATGAGGTATGGATTCTGTCAACTACTTTTGGATCAGATCAGAGAGACTTTATTTATCCCCAAGGGGCAATTAAGAGACAACAGAGCATCATGACCTTAAAGATAAGGACAGGGCATAAACAGACAATAAAAATGAGATAAAAAAAAATACTTAGAATATACAGTATATACACAGTTTTAAAATTAGAGAGACAAAATAAGTGAATAAATAACTATAAGTGACTAAGAGTGAATAAAGTGTCAGCAGTATAAAAAAGAGTAAAGAGAAGTTTATGTTTATGGGTGTGAGAAATGGTCCTATCGGCTGGAGTTAAAAAGCGGAGCGGCAGTGTCCCAGTAATCTTCCCCAAACTTAGGACACAGTTCCTATTCCCAACTGGAAGTGATATTTTTGGTTGAGTAATTGCCCAATGCAATAATGAAAGTATATATTCTTAATATGAGAGTCTTACTGTGAGGTTTCAATTAAAATAAGTCCTTCCATGAATGCTTGGGGGTTGATTTGGAAACTGGGAAAATAGAGGCTGCACAGTATCTTATTTGAGAATAGCGGAATAAATGAAATGAGGGCAAATCGTACAAATAAGACATATCACTAAAAGTGTTGTCTTTGAAAAAATGATTTAAAAAACATTTTATACCATTTCTTGCACATATATGGAGGGAAGATTCCAAAGGAGATGGGGGAGAGATGATTGTTACACATTGGGGCCAGAGCAAAGGCAGAGACAGAATTAAGGTGTGGCCGGATTTGATACCATATTTTTAGACAGGGAATTGCAACAGGGTTATCTGTATATTGTCACAGGGAAACAGGAAGGGATGAAAATAATAATGGTGAAAGTGAGGTAGAGAGACATGATTGAGCCTCAAGGTAACACCAAGTAGCATGAGGATCCTGTTACCTTGGATCCTACCCTGTTAAAGTGAGGCTGAAATGAACTAGTAACATGAACAGTGTCATGGTGGACTGAACGGACTGAAGTGCAGACTCGAGGAAAAAGTGCAAAAGGTTTATTACAGCAATAATAAAAAGTGATCCAAATGTAATATTGTATTTAACATGTGTTAAGTGAATCTGAAATTATTCGAGAGCTAAATTTTAAAGGATAAAATACATTTTCAAAGCAAATGAATTCATTTTCAAACTATAACATTCAATTTCGGTTTAGTGATGATCATTTTCAAACCAATAAATTGAATTTCAAATTAGGCTAATTCATATTCAGTTTTTAAAAGCATTTATTCAAGTTACAAGTCACATTCAATCTGAGCAATTTAAATTTGAATTTAACTTATTCAAATTCAGTTTCTGATGTCACAGATTTCTGCCCATATCCACCTCACTTCCAGTCAGTGAAGGAAAACCTCTGGAGATGAAAGGCTTGAACACATCTATCTCTACTGCTGGCACCTTGTAAGACAATGGCTTACAAGGTGCCAGCACTAACACTGTACTGGCCCTACAGCAGACAAGTTTCTTATGTTTTGGGGCATTAAGTGGAGAATGTCCATGACCTGCGAGCCATACCTTCAGCCCCACCTGATACCTGGGGGCGGGTGTCCTGCGGCAGTTAGCATACTGGTGCTGGCGTTTGACTGAACTGAGAAGCCTTTCCAAGGCCTGTGCCCAGATGTGTTGGCATAGTTGGAAGTGGTACTGAAATTAGGGAACCGCCAGATCTATATCTGCCTCTGGGAAAAGCGGTGGTTGATATCCTAGGGGTGCTTCGAAAGGCGAGGGACCAGTAGCAGAGGCAGTGAGAGAATTGTGAGCAAGCTCTACCTATTTGAGATATGATGACCAGGTTTCCGGGTTGTGAGAGGTGATGCAGCGGACACCGGATTCCAGTTCCTAATTCAGTCATTCAGTTAGGCTGTTGTTTTGGGGTTGATAACCAGAACTGAGACTGACCGGGTCCTGAGTGCCGAGCTCAAGGACTTCCAGACTTGCAAAATGAACTGGGGACCACAATCTGAAATTATTTCAAAAGGGTAATTTGTCCAGAGCAATGACATGAGCTCATTTGGAAAACCTGTCAACTATGGTGAGTATTACAGTTCTGCCTGAGGAAGGCCATTAACAAAATCCAGTGCAATCTGCGACCAGGGTCTGTGTTAGAGCAATCCGGTGGGGTGTCGATTATGGTGTTTATACAGGCACAGTTTGGCAGGCAGCTGCATAGCTCCTCAGATCCTTTTTTAGGGACTCCCACCAAAAGTGATGCGTGAATAATGAAATGGTTTTACTCACGCCAGGGTGGCAGGAGAATCTGGCGGTGTGGATCCAGTTGAGTATGGTGGCGAGGGTGGATGTGGGAAAGTACCATAGGTATTTGCTGCAGTAAATACTGTGGAACTGTGGATGGGCTCAAATGTGAATTAATAAACAGCAGAGGATACTTATTTTTGACAGTGATTTCATTCAGCCTCCGGAAATTTATACAGGGACAGAGTGTGCCGTCTTTTTTTGAGCCAAAAGATAAAATAAAATGTGAGTCTCCCAGGAGTTGCTTGACATGACCAGACAGACACGTTCGGTTGGATGGGTTATTATGGATGCATTATTACGCCAAACACTTGATTGTTCAGAGCGGTAACCGGGACAGGTGGGTTTAAAGGGATGAGTGATAGATGCAGTTGGTTCGCTAATTCCGTGTCTATGATGTTCTGTTCATCCTCTGAATCTAGAAGGGCCTGTAGTGACCGAGTAACCTGGTTTAGGCTAAGTTTTACTGATAGCAATAACCAGGGTTTAGAAGAGGTCATGGATCTGCTATCCGTATCCCCAGATCCTTTTGACCCAAATCCTTGAAAGAGGAGTCCCATGAGGCTAATTGATCCCTTATCTGATCATTCAGAGCTTGGAGGAAAACTCTCTAACAGTTTCTTAGCTGTGCTGCCCTCAGAGATGAGGTGAGAAAAGGTCTTTCTCAATTCCCCATGGAACTCATCATACAGGCAGGAAGAAATTGGGTTGAAGGAAAAATATGACTATAACCCATTAACTGACATATATTGACCTCACCGTGGCTCAGGGGGTTGGGAAGCGTATCTGTAACCGGAAGGTCGCCGGTTCGATCCCCGGGCTCTCTGTCCTGGTCGTTGTGTCCTTGGGCAAGACACTTTACCCTACCGCCTACTGGTATTGGCCAGATGGCGTGATATGGCAGCCTCGCTTCTGTCAGTCTGCCCCAGGGCAGCTGTGGCTACAACCGTAGCTTTCCTCCACCAGTGAGTGAATGAATAGTGGCATTGTAAAGTGCTTTGGGTGCCTATAAAAGCGCTATATAAAATCCAATCCATTATTAT